TCCCCATATCAGCTCTCTGTTGGGAAAGGCTGTGGTTTTGGGAAGCTGCTGCAGCTGGATGGGGTGACATGGACTGACGGGGCTCCCCTGGCCGGTGAGTGTGGGTGTGGGAGCCCAGAGATCTCCATTATGAATGTTAGGGGCACTGCACAAGCCATGGTGGGGATCCCATCCCGATCACTGTTGGGTGATGCAGGGACAAGCCCGTATTCAGGTTCAGGCGTGTTCCGTGCGGCCTGGCTCTCCCAGGAAAGGTTTTACCTCTCTTTTTGTTGCATTTTAACTCCTTATTTGCCCTCAGCAATGCTGGAGGGTTTGTGGGGTGATCAGGAAATTTGGGACACCCTGAGGAAAAACTGGAGGGAATTGTCACTACTGTTCAAGCACCTCTGGGCACTGAGGCAAAGCTGCTGCCTCCTGGAACGTCTTTGGCTGGGAGGGATGATATTGTCCCCAGGCCCCTGGGCTACTGAGCCTGGCTCTGCTCTGCAGGGCAACCTGACCTTGAGAGGGGCATGCAAAGCTGGTGGAGGGTGATGGTGGCTGTCCATGGGAACAGCTCTGGGACTGTGCTGGGTGGGCAGAAGGTGGCAGGTGAAGGATGTCAGGGAAACCTCTCTCCCACCTCCTCCCGTTCCCTTTAGTGTGCTAGCTGTGGGATGCTGCAGCTCTGAGGAGAGTAGCAGAACTCTTGCAGCTCTGGAGACCAATGGGGCATCCCGGGAATCAGCTGCAGGAGGCATCTCTCATTTCTGATCCTTCCAGGCGTGTTGCCTGCGTGAGATGAGTCTTTAAATGACTTCTGCTTATTAGCTGGAGATACTAAAACTAATGAGGTGCAAGTGTGTTTTTCCTCAGCGGTTTTTTTTGGAAACCCTACTTTGTTTTTTGGCTGAGGTCACAAAGTCACAGAACAAGCCGGCTGCAGATGAAATTTTCGAGGCCGGAGAACATGCATAAATAGAAGTTTCCTGCTCCAAGAGCTCAAACATTTCCTCCAGGCATTTGGCTTGGTGGAGCTGGGGCCAAAGCAAACTGTCGTGCCTGGCTGGCTCCTCAATGCTGCTTGGGCAGCGAACGTGCCCCTGCTGTGGGTGGGACTAAAGGAGCTCTGTCCCAACAGGTGTGCCCGCAGCCTGATGGACACAAGAGGGACTTGTGACATGCCTGAGATTGTGTCTACGTGCTCAGCATCCTCCCAAAAGGTCCTCTGGGACCCTTTGGCAAGGCACCAGTCCCACAGTGCCCATGGCAGCTGGTCCCAGCAGCAATGGGGTTGTGAGAGTTAGGTTTTGCATGTGGGATGTGTCAAGCTGCTTGTGCCACTGGGATGCTTGGTGGGATTTGAAGACAGCGTTATTTTGGGGATGTTAGAATGCTCAGTGCAGTGTGGTGGAGGTGGAGTGCTTTGGCAGCACCATCACACCCAGGTCTAGCAAGACCCCTGTGCTGACTGTGGCTGGGTCATGGCAGTAACTTGCTTTTCCTCTCTGGTTCTTTAGGATGCCACAAAATCCCCCAGGAGTGGGCAGTCACGCTGCAAAACATCCAGGTACTTGCCTCAGTTTCCCCTTCTGATGACCATCTCTGCTCTCCTGAAGCTCCCTCCCATCAATACCTGCTTCTCCAAAGGTGCTTGCTATACCTGGGAGATGCTCCCAGTGAAGATGACACAGGAGTTACAACTCACCATCCCCAACCTGGGTCCCCAAGACACCCCAAGAGGACTGGGAGCAGGGAAAGGCCGCAGGCAGCTGTATCCCCATGTGTCCCAGCCTATCTTCAGGGTGGAGAGGGGTCCCCGTGTCCCCTCCTCATGCCGTGTCTTGACAATGGTCCCCTCCCTTGCCCAGGAGCATGAGCCTGACTGCAGCCATGGAGAGCAGCTGTGAGCTGGACCTGGTGTACATCACAGAGCGAATCATTGCTGTCTCCTACGCCAGCACGGCCGAGGAGCAGAGTTACTCCAGCAACCTCCGTGAAGTGGCCCACATGCTCAAGTCCAAGCATGGGAATAACTATGTGGTGAGGGGCACAGCCAAGTCCCTGTCAGGCTGGTGGAGGGGCTGGAGTGCTCAGCTGCTGGGGATGGGTGCTTGCAGGGGATGGATGCTGCATCCTTGTCTCTGTCTGGGCTCTGTTGAGGGAGGGTCTTTGCACCATGCTGGATAGATTTTTTTATCAATGAAGATTATCAGTCCCTTTCAGACCCCCTGGGAATTTTTGGTTTTGTATTGCCCTGCGGCAAGGTGTTACTCAGGGTAATATGTCTGGGAAAGCCTCTCATAGCAGGATTTGGGAAGGCTTTGGGGTGAGGAAGAGGTAAGGTGGCAGCAAGGGAGGAAGATGTCCTCTTACTCTGTTTTTCATCTTCCCTAAAGCTTTTCAACCTCTCTGAGCGGAGACGTGATATCAACAAACTTCACCCCAAGGTGGGTCACAGCTGTGAGAAGCAGTGGGGATCTCGGGGGCCTCAGGGCAGGCCTGTCTGCAGAACCAGCTCCCTGCTACAAGATGTCTAGGGGAGAAACAGCCACCTTTTCTATTCTATCCAGTTGGGAAAAACCCTGAGAAAAGCACTGAGACTTCACACTGTGTTTGTGGTGTTTCAGCTTGACTCCCATTACCCTCCCAGCCCCCCATTCTCAGCCCAAAGCTGGCTGTTTCGAGTCTCCTGGAGAACTTCCTAAAGGCATTGTCCTCATCCCTCTGATAATGGGGGAGCCCTCAGAAGCTGAGTCAAGTAATCTGGAGTGGGGGGGCCTGATATCTGGGACCACGGGGGCCTCCCTGAGCCAAGGATCTGGGCAGTGGGGTGCAAGGTTGGGGTTGGGAGGTTGCATGACAGAGCAACACAGTAATGCCTACCCTGTGTACGTGCCCTGGGCTTTGCCCACTGACAGGCTGGGAACTCTGCATGGGAGTGCCTGTGATCCCAGGCTGTTTGTTCCCCTGTTTAGGTGCTGGATTTTGGGTGGCCTGACATGCACACTCCTGCCCTGGAGAAGATCTGCAGCATTTGCAAAGCCATGGACACATGGCTCAATGCAGCGGCACACAACGTGGTGGTGCTGCACAACAAGGTGGGCAGGACCCATCACCGGGGCACAGCTGGGGGCACTGGGAGTCTGTGGGGCTGCAGGGATTGGGCTGAGCAGCCTCAGAGGCTGAGAGATGTAGAGAATGAGGTGGTTTGTGGTGTGGGGTGTGGGTAGGTGTCAGCACATATATGTATTGGTGTGTGTCTAATGAGGGTTGGGGCATCTATGGACTGACATATGCTTATAGGGATCAGTGTATGCCTCTATGGGATGTCTGTGCTGGGTGCTCACAGGCCCCTCTGTCCCCATGACACCCCTTCTGCTGTGTGTCTGCAGGGGAACCGTGGCCGACTGGGGGTGGTGGTGGCTGCCTACATGCACTACAGCAACATCTCAGCCAGGTGAGACAGACAGGAGGTCCTGGGGTGGCCCTGGGGCCCACTGGTGACCTCCATCCCAGTGGTGCTGGGGTGGTGGTGCCAATACTTTCCTTCAACCTCATCTGTCCTTTCATGCCCACAGTGCTGACCAGGCTCTGGACAGGTTTGCCATGAAGCGCTTCTATGAGGACAAGGTGGTGCCGGTGGGACAGCCGTCCCAGAAGAGGTGAGTCGTGGCATGCCTTTGCAGGCTGGGATTTTCCCCATAGGGTGATTGGATGCAGGCGTCCCAGGTGGATGTTCCTCTGTGGGTTCTGCCCCTGAGCTGCCTGTCTGCCCTCCAGGTACATCCATTACTTCAGTGGGCTCCTCTCTGGCAGCATCAAGATGAACAACAAGCCCCTCTTCCTCCACCACGTCATCATGCACGGCATCCCCAACTTTGAGTCAAAAGGCGGTAGGTGCCCCCAGCTGCTTCTCCAGCCTGCTTCTTCCCACACCACCACCCCATATTGCCTGGCCAGGTTTGTCCTCTTTGGGGGATAGTTTCCACCGTTTCCTTGGCAATTTGAATTTCCCTTTCCTTCTCAGAGACTGTTCACTCATATTAGCAGGCTGCTACCCTTCTCTGGCAGAGATGCCTACAGAGGATGCCCTCCTGATGCTGGGCACTAACCTGAGCTCTGGGGTGACAATGTTTTCCTGACAGCTTTTCCAAGGATGGCACCAAACTGGGGTTTGGGATGGCAATACCCCATCTGGTGCTGGTACCTCACCTAGATCATCATCCCACCCCTATCCCCAGCCCAGCACTTGCCCTAGGTCCTACAGGACCCAAACTGTGAAGGCTTTGCCCTTTCTCAGCTCATCCACAGCATCCTTTCTGCCCATTGCAGATGTTGCCCTTGGTCGGTGCGGGCTGGCTGGGGCAGGGAGCGGCTGTTTGCTTTGGCTCCCTCCCTGTTTGGATTTCTCCCCCGTGACTAATCCCTCCCCTGGCCCCTCCGCCCAGCCGACTAACAGCAGTGTGCCTTTTCTCCCCGCCTTGATGTCTTCCAGGTTGTCGGCCGTTCCTGAAAATCTACCAGGCCATGCAGCCCGTCTACACCTCGGGGATCTAGTAACTATCTCCTTGCCATGGGGCTTTCCTACTGCCCAGCATGGGGGCCATGGCAAGCGGGGGAGGGTGGAGAGTGTCAAAGACAAGTCCTCTGTGGTCTGGTGCTCTGTGCTTTGTCTGTTTGGAGTCCAGGGGAAAAAAAGGGGCTTCCTTTTTTTTGGAGGTGGTAGCTGGCTATACTGGGCCGTACTGGACCCTTCTGCTGGGAGGGCTGTAGTGACTCCGCATATCAGCAGAGGGAGCCTGGGGCTGTGCGGAGCCTGGGGCTGGGTGTTCCCGGAGGGAGTGGGGAGAGGAATGGGGACATCTGGGAGATGAAGGCACCCTAGGAGATGAAGGCATTTCTTCTCTCCCTGCTTAAAGAACTGCTCTTCCTGCCTGGAATAGTCCTCACAGATCACAGAGTATTCTTAGCTGGAAGGGACCCGCAAGGATCATTGAGTCCAGCTCTTAAGTAAATGGCCCATACAGGGATTGAACCCACAACCTTGGTGTAATTAGCACCATGCCCTGACCAGCTAAGCTAATATCATTTCTCCAAAAAAGATCTTCCCCCTGTTTTAATCTCCCCACAGTTTTTTTTTTTTTTCTGGTGCTGATTCTAGGAGTAGGCGCTGGCAAAAGGAAAGCATTTCTCCAGCCTCTCAGACATTCTGCCAATGCCACATCCCAATCTATGTGGGACCCCTGGCTCCTGGTCTCCCTGGAGGGACCAGAGCACCTCACCTCTGGGATATTCCCGTCTCAATCCCCAGGACCAAGATCTCACTTCCATACAGCCATGGGTCCCCGTTAGCTGAGATTTACTGCCATCCCAGCCTTGCCTTTCAACTTTTAATAGACTGTTTATGGGATGCCTGTAATAAACTCCAGGTTTATCTTGCCTGTGAAATCCTACTCCTTTCTTCCCTTGTCCCTGGCTGCTGACGCCACCGCCCGTCGGCAGCCTGTCGGCAGTGCACTGGGAGGGGAGGGCTTCCCGCAGGGAAACTGAGGCAGGGCGAAGAGTCTTCCCAGAGATTTCTCCCTCTGTGTCCTAAGTCCCAGTTGAGCCATGGGAGCTGGGTGGATGGCTGATAGCCCAGCCCCAGCACTTGGAACCTGGGCAAGCCCTCCCACCCAGCAGTTTTTGCACCCTTGCTGAGCTGTGCCTCAGTTTCCCCTTCCCGTCCTCCTTCTACTGGGAATGGGTGCCCCTTGAGGTGGTGGATGGGACCCCCCTCAGTCACAGAGAGGGCCAGCTCTGTGTGTTGCACGTTCTCTGCCTAGATTTGGGTGGAAGGGCTGGTTGAGGTGGTGCTAGGAGTTTTCTGGGGGGCTCTCTGCACCACAGCTCAGATCCTCCCACCATTCCTCTCTGCAGCAATGTGCAAGGAGACAGCCAGACGGGCATCTGCATCACCATTGAGCCTGGCTTGCTGCTCAAGGGCGATATCTTGGTAAGGATTGTCAGCTCAGCTCCTGGCGTAGGAAGCAGACAGGGGTTGTGTGGTTGCCTTGCCTTGGGACCCCCAGATTCCTCCTTGCCCAGGTCTAGGGGCTTGTCCTGATGGCTCATCCCCATTCCCCTCTGCAGCTGAAGTGCTACCACAAGAAGTTTCGCAGCCCTACCCGTGACGTGATTTTCCGTGTGCAGTTCCACACGTGTGCTGTGCATGATCTTGACGTCGTCTTTGGCAAGGAGGACCTGGATGAGGCCTTCAGAGGTAACTGCCCTGGCACTTCCGTGCTCCAAACTCCCTCATCCTCCTGGCCCCGTAACTCTGGTGTCATCATGGGGACATCTGGGCACTCATCCCAGATCCACCCCTGCCGAAACAAGGCACCCCTGCTCCATCTGCAGGGTGTGGTGCTGCTTGGGAAGTGGTGGCACCATCATCCATTTCATTGCCAAAACCATTACTGGTGCAGAGGGGCTACCTTGGAGTTGTTTTGGAGGCTGTGATGCACTGCCCTGTGCAGGGATATCCCCTAGCAGCTCCCAGCCTTAAGCTGGTCTGTAGATGTGTTTGGGGTGACTGGCTCTGACTGGAGCTATGGATGGAGATAGTCCCTTTATTCTGCTCTCTCTTTGCCAGATGACCGCTTCCCTGAGTATGGGAAGGTGGAGTTTGTGTTCTCCTATGGCCCTGAGAAGATCCAAGGTATGGCTGGCTCAGTGCCACGGGGATTGGTGGTGGATGCTGTCTCCTTTCCTTCTCGTCGACTGTGTCCCCTGTTCCCTCCCTTGTGACCTCCACCTGCCCCATTGCAGTCATTTTGTCACCAGGGTAGGGTGAGGCATCCAGACAGTAAAGCTGATCTAGGAGCACCCATGGATGCCCTATTTCTCTCGCTGTCTTCCCCAGGAGGCTGCTCTCCAAAGCCCTTGCTGGCCCAGGAGAGATGGAAGGAATGTTTGGGAATGAAGGACTCCCTTGCTCAGAAAGTCCAGACCCATGCACACTCACTGCCAGTCTATGTGCTGGTCTCTAGGCAATCCCAAAAGCCCCAGGCAATCTTTTATACCTTCTTTGTGAGTCTTGATGTACATCCTGTGCTCATCCATCTCTTGATGCTGCCTTTCCTACAGGAGTCTCCTGCCTTACTCTATGGCTCCTGCACTTTTCTCCTTGAATGCACTTTTCCCCATCTATTCCCACATCCCACCCTTGCTGGCTCCATTGTCATCCTCCCTGACCATTCTGCCTCTTTCCAGGCATGGAGCACCTGGAGAACGGGCCCAGTGTTTCTGTGGACTACAACACATCTGACCCACTGATCCGGTGGGACTCCTACGAGAACTTCAACATCCAGCGTGAGGAGAGTGCAGAGGGGGCCTGGGCTGAGCCACCCCTGCCCAGCAAGCATCTGGAGAAAGGTTAGGGCTCACAAGGTGGTCAGTGGCCAAAGTGACCACGTGGAAATACTCCCTACCCCAGGACAGGGGACACTGGTGGGCAGCAGAGCTGGGGACAGGTGGCTGCTGATGGGAGTAGTGTGGCCATGGGATGGGAGAGCAAGATCTTTGCCTTATGCCACAGTGCCAGGGAGCTCTTCTTTTCAGCACTTAGCTGTCAAGGTCCTGTTTGCACAAGCAGAGTCCAGCTCTAGTTTATGCCCCAGAGCTTTAGCAAATCTAAACTCCATGTCTGCAGGACTGTTAGGTATCCTGGTTACTTTGTCATGCTGCAAACATGGCAGGATGTAGATGTGCCTTAGTTATCCCTAGGGGATGAGGATGTCTTACTGACCTTTGATGGTCTGCTGCATCTCTCAGAGCTGAGAAAAGCCCTTTGAGCACCCATTTTGTTGCAGCAAGTTGACTACTGTCACCCACTTGGCAGGAACGGGCAGTACTTGTATGTCGAAGGGTGGTGGGCCCCTGTCCTGGAGGCAAGGCTACTCATGGCCAAGCAGATGCCTGGGCTTTCCTGGCCAGATCTGGTGTGGCGTCCCTGGAGTAGGGACAGCTGTGGTCCCTGATATCCCTGAAGGTCACCGGCTGCTTCGAGTGGGAGCTGTGGATGGCAGTGCTCGCAGTGGAGGGTGAGGGCTCTGGGTGCCTGGGGCAGGCCAGAGTGTCTCTGCTGTGGTGGTCACATGGAACCGGACCTGGGGTGGCTGTGTGGAGCTGGCACAGGCACTTGCCTTGGCACAGGGCAGTAAACAGGCAACTCGTGATGTGCAGGCTCAGCTGTGGGCTGTGTGCAGGCTGGGGAGCTGTGGGTCCAGCCTCAAGCTGGCAAGACTGCCTGGCAGTCCTCTCCTGCCTGCAGAGACCTGAGTGCTTCATTGCATGTGTTCCCCTCTCGACCCTGGGCCAACGTTTCTGCACCCCAGCCCCTCACAGGGCTGCAGGGTTGCCCCAAGACTCATCTCTCTATTTTCATGGGGGTCTTGGTGAATACTGGGGCTGCAGAAGTACCCCAGGGTTCCTCTCCATTTCCCCTTGGGGGTCTTAGCAGGTATCAGGGCTGTGGAGGTACCTCCATGCACTGACTGGGCTGTCCTCTGTGCTGGGAGGGGTGGCAGTAGGGGATGAGGGCACCTTGAATTTGTAAACACTGTCCCAGTTTGGAGATGAGCCGGGACTGTGGAAGGGTGAAGCCGCCGGCAGCAGGCTGCCCTCTGACCCGTGCCAGCACAAGCAGCTGCAAGAAGCCCATCTGTAAAGGGTCTTTCCCAGCTGTCCCATAGGGCACTTGGATCAGTGGTGGTGGGAGTTAGTGTGGGCTCGAGGGGCTCCCATCTTTTTCCCTCTCTGTTGTCACTTTTCCTCTTTTCCAGCCTGTCCCAAGCCAGGATGGGGACCCTGGTGTCCGGCTGTGCAGGGGGGGTCCCTGTTTATGGTCGTTCTTGCCTTATTTGGTCAGGGAATTGCACGCCACATTTTTGGCACCACCAGGCGTGAGCAAGCGGTGTCCGGGGGCGGAGGGGGGTGAGGTTGGCACCAGGACCCACGCCGGGCTGGGACCAGCCGCTGCTCCTTGTCCCTGCCACTGCCCGTCCTGCCACTCGGCGAAGGCTCCCCGCAGACGGTCGCTGCAGCCCGGGCCAGCGGGATCGGGATCGCCTGCCAAACGGTGGGTTCCCCCATGCTGCCTCTCTGCTGGCCACAGCCGCTCTCCGTGCAGGTGGATGCCCTTTCTCCAGCAGCTTTGTCTCAGCATGGAGCACCCATAAGGGCTGGGGGGTGCCTGCCAGGGTGGGATGGTCCTGTGGGACCCCAAAGCTGGAGGGGCAGGTGGGTGGCTGGGGGTGGTGCCTGTCCTGGCGTTCCCCTCACCTCTGCTGTGCTTATCTGTGGGGACTTGGAGAAGGGGAAACCCATTTGCAGTGGGGTCATTGGTTGACTAAGCTCTTTCAGAGCAGGGGGCATGAGAGGGGGATCTGTACCCCCACATCTTGCTTTCTGGCTGAGGGGACACAGCTGGATTCAACAGGCTCTCTGTCAACCACTTCCCTGGGACAGGCTGGCCCCATCAGTGAACTCGCCCTCCTGCTTTACTCAGGCAGGGTCTCTGCTGCCCACCATGTTTGGGCTGCCCCAAACTTTGGGAGAGTGGGGTATGCTGGGGTACCCCCACAGCCTGTCCTTCTGCCCCTCAGCCATGTCACACAGCCTGGGGAAGGCAAGTGGCTCTGCCTGTCCTCCTTCTTCCTCCTTGAAGGGGCTTTGGGGTCAGTGGTGGCTGCTTGGCAGGTTCCTGCTGTAGTCCCCGTGGCCATTTGTTGGGTGAGGGTGTTTGAAGGCTGAAGGGAGGTGATGGCATGCTTCATCCTCTGGCTGTTTTTGTGGTTGCCAGCACTGGTAGCTCTCCTTGGGGTGCAAAGCTGGCTCCAGAGAGGCAGGAGGAGGCCAGCAGCTGGATGTGGCATTGCTGGGTTTGCAGCTGGTTGGAGGATCACTGCAGAGAAATTTTGGTGTACTGCAGATGCTGTAACTCTGTATGGAGATGATTTATGGCCTGGTTTGACTTTGCTGAGAAAACCAGTGCTGATGGGGAACAGGGTGCTGGGGCTGGCATGCAGTCAGTGGATGGGCTGTC